TTCCTCTTTCCTTGATTGGTTGTTCTCCATCAAGGACTCTATCCATCTGAGAGCCCTTACTCATGTTGTATTCCTTTGTTGGAATATTTGGAAGGCTAGAAATGAATGTGTTTTCAAGAATCGGATCCCTTGGCATCCGAACGTGATTTTGTGCACTTACAAGGAGTTCATTGAATGGACAACTTGCCCGAGGAACCCCCCTTCCGATTCTCCTCCTCATCCTCCTCAGCTCAGGGGATCACACTCACTGACTTCTCCACCGCCAAGCAATCATAATCTGGTGATTCACTGTGATGGGTCGTTCTTAAGCGACTCCCAGCCGGCGGCATATGGTGTTGTGGTTACTAATCACCATGGACAAGTTTGTTATGGGCGAGCTGATACTCTCCTTTGCTCTACCCACTCGAATCCAAAACAAAAGCTCTTTTGGAAGGTCTCAAATTAGCTCAAGAATATGACACTGAATGTGTTGTCCAGTCTGACTGCCAGGTGTTGGTCAAAGCTCTCGATCATGATCCTAGAGGTTGGCCGTGGAGGGGATCAGCTTGGATTGGATCAATGATCTCTATCCTTCGGTCGAACCCACAAGTGAAGGTCAAAGCAGTTTCAGAAAGTTTAATGTTAGAGCGGATTGGGTTGCTCGATCTTCTCTCCCAGTTAACTGGATTAGTATCCTTGACTTAATTTCTGATTTCCTTTGATCAATGTATTTGGTTTCTCGAGTTGAAGTGGAATAAAGGAAGATTTTTACTGTAAAAAAAAACCACATCGTTGTAGAAAGACGTTTGAGATAGAAAAAAAAAGAATCATTCTTGTTTGTAGATAGACATGTGGCATTGTTTCTATCGTACCCATGACTTAGTAAAGAAACACTGATTAGACATTGGATTAACTAGAGTTTGGGGCATGATACTACACAATAAACCCTAATGAGTAAAATTTAGACTCTAATTCTCTAAATCATGTATCCTAAGGTCAAATTAATAAGTTAGAAACAATAACAGACTATTCTGATTCGTCGAAATACATCTAGCATCCTATAGTTGCACCATCTAAGAGTTTAGGTTGTGGGGTTTAGAGAATTAGGACATAGAATTCACTTATCAAGAATTAGGATATAGATACTTACGTTTTATACACACAAAAATAAGTCATTTCAATATCTAAATAGTGTTTTCTTACTAACGATATGTGATATTCTAAAATCGCACTAGATACAATAGAAAATGTATTGGTTTCTTTTATACACAGTTACACACCTAGCTAGCTAGTAGTGGCATTTGGTGTGCCATGTCTCATGTGATATCTACTATCTGCGTGTGTCTCAGTGTGTATATTATTATCTTTATATAATTTTGATTCTTAGTTGAACATACGTCTGGATTTTATATAATATACTAGAAAATATTTTGTGAAAAAATAAAATAATGATAAATAATAAAATTAAAGGCCCAAGTGTCCACATATCTACTGGTTGGCAGGAACAGAAGATTTTGTTGTACTAGAATATTGCCGCAGGAAGTCCCCATGAAATGAACATAATCGCCCCCTTCCAACTGTATATTATTACTTACAAAAAAAAAAAAAAAATACATCCATAAAATTTAAAAACAGGATTGTTAAATAGTGAAGAAATAAAAACACATAATTTCATGTACTGAAAGCACAGAAATAATGGCAGCTACCTAAAGATCATAGATAGTGATTCTGTTCTGTCCAACATGTGCCTCTCCATCTCCTCCTTTTCCCGGATTGCTGTAAAGTGAGGAGAGATTAAAATACAAATTGGAGTAACTCATACCTTGCCACTTGTCAACATTTTCCTGATATGTTAGTCTACGTGTTTATAACGTAAAATAAAATATTTGAGGAGAATTATAAGTTTGTAACAATTTCTTAATGAAAATTAATCAGAACTATCCTCGAAGGCGATTTAATCTCCCATAGAGGCCGGAACACAATTTGTAATAATAGCTTCACAAGCATCAATAGGGAAACAATGAGCAATAATATACCTATACTTCCACATGCTCTCCCATCCTCTCAATGCCATTGCACATTGTACAAAACTCTGTTTTTACTCTTAACTTGGGCTTCTACTTTTTGTTATACGTTAAAGTGTATAACGAATAAAGAGAAAAACATCTTTAGAATTCTGCAAAATTTAATTCAATCATCTCAAAGTCGTCATCGTAGGAGCAATTTACCACTAAATGATGACCATGTCAGTGTAAAATTTCCGTGTAATAATTGATCAATGATAATTAATCGTTAGATACAACTTTTTTTAAAATATAAAAATAAGAATGACTTGCAAGTGCTGCAAACGTATTCATAAATTTTGGCCACCTCCATTTGAATATATCTATATACATATATTTATGAGGGGAAAATTATGAGAATCTGGAAATTGGACCAACATCCCCACTAGTGGTAGCATGATCTATCTTGGATATGGGTTTAATTTTCTGTTGTGAATTTGTTTGATTTATAAAAAAAAATTCTCCACCATGCATTATGCAATTATACGTTCATTTTCTCAAATAATAATTTTGCGGAAACCTCTTTGATATGGATATATACGCGTAATAATTATTTTGCCATGCATGATCAATTATATATGCTTGTTGAATCAAGGACAGCACAATCTACATCGTATAATTTCTTGTTCTTTTGCATCGTGTGATGATCTGTCTCCCCAGCTAGCCTTTTTCATGATAATTAATAAGTAATCAAGATTAAATACCCCAATTAGTTAATTAATCTGTTTCGTGACTAGTTCAACCCCATAATAATAGGCTCAAGAGAACGCATCGTCAGCTCGAGGCGAATAGGAAGGACCAAATGAAACTTCATCACCCAGTTCAAGTGAGATCAGAGAGGGATAATTAGTTAATATATTAGCTCATCCAACTTTAACCTTAGTCTAATTGGACATAATTTAGCTCGAGTTATTGGGATCAGATGGTTTACGATATTATATTGGTGTTGGTTCGTAGTCGAGATCACGTGCTCAAATCCTCACGACCCCAATATTAAACTGTTGTCGTTAAAGTATATGGTATGGAGAGTCTGTACAAACTTCAAGCATATGAGTTGTCTTTCGTTTGAGGGGGCGTATAAGGAAGTGCTTAAGTATCATATATGAACATTTCCCGACAACTCGAGTTATTGAAACTAGTTGGTTTATGAGAAACTACATAGATGATAGTTCACTTAACTCATAGCAATTAAAGTTAGCTCAATGATACTCCTAGCTAGTAGCTCAACTTCATCAGACTTGGCTAAGAAAAGCTAGAAGCTTAGCTAGATAATAGTTCACTTTAACTTGCACTAAATTCTAGTGCAATGATGCTATCTAGCTCGTGAGAACATGCTCACAAGTGTGCAAAGTTGTTGGATCGTGCACACAAGCTTTCAAGACTGTTGGACGGATGCGCCGTGACTTTTTTTTTACTAAATTGTTACCTTATTTATTCGACGATTACAAAGCGACCATTCGCAATACAATAATCCCCAAATGTCTATGGAAACCGTTCTCGTAGATGGGGTGTGAGCAACTGGTTGCATAAGTGAGGTTTTGATGTGTGGTGTCTCCTCCTCCTCCTTATGATGAATTCGCACGTGGGTGATGTCTTATGTTATATATTTCGAATTGAATGTTTAGAAATTGTTCTTCTCGACATTGGGAATTGCTATATGGCTTCTCAATTATTTTATGGATCTCTCTTTCCGCCAAATTGTAGAATCATTTCAACGACTTCATGCAAATATACATACATATATATATATGTAGTTTTTTTTTGTTTGTTTTGAATTATTGGGCATCAACTTGTGATCGGTGGTGCCTGCCTGCGTATTATTGCAAGTTGTAGCCTATAGTATAGCTAGCTTGTAGGGGTTGGGCATGACCATGAGGGATGGGATGAGGTGGTGGTTCGTCTTCGATGTAGCCCTAAGATTCAATGATGAGCTCTGAAATTATTTTATAACTAACTAATTGAGATTTGAAGCAATGCACGCCCCACCTACATCTATCATACATACATTTCTCAGTGTATGGGTGGGACTGCTGCCCCTGTAACAGATTCTAGCTAATTGCATCACTAAACCGCTAGTTGTTCCGCGCCGCGGACACACCATACCACTTGCTTAATCGACATAAGAGCATCAAATCGGTTTAACAACTTTACACGATCTGTGTACATGGAAAAATAAAAACTAGACAAATAATTATAAACAAGGGCAATAAAGTCAATTATATTTCATACCCACAAATCTAATTCAACAAAATCCATCACGAAATCAAGCAAGCAAGCAAACAATGGTTTGGTAAAAATTCATAATGGACCAATTCCATCAATAAATTCCATATTTTTATACAAATCTTCAATTTTCAAATAGCAAACTACTTATAAATTTGATTTCATCGGAGTAGATGAAAAGTGTTTGCCAAGTACTATTTATTATTATTATTATTATGTTTATGTAATATTAGAGTGCGTACCCAAATTTCAGTCAAGAAACTCCATCCATGCATGCATGTGCTTTCCTTCATATACCTGCTGGCGCAGGTTTCACACTCTCTTTTCCTCATCTGTCAGGTTTCACATTCTTTAGGTCTTTTTACCAATTTTCCATGAGAAAAATGCAGAAAATTGTAGGCCTTAATATTAAAATTTATCACGGGCATGATTTTTTGGAAATTTGACCATCACTTTGAGAATAATATTGGGTGTGATCATGTCAGGAAGTTAATTATGGGCTGGTGAGTGGTGAGACTAAGTTGATGAGATTGGTGAGCCCAAAATAGCCCTATATGGGCTAGCCCTTCTTCAGAACCCAATATATGGAGTCGGCCCAAAACGAGAAATCATCAGCTCGGCTTCTCGCCAGCCACGACGGCCGATGATGGCTTATGCCAGCCGAGCCGAATAAGCCAGACCGCTCTTTTGTTTTTGTCAGCCACACTGACTCTGACCCTCTCTATCCGCGAACAACAGTGGGGGAACCATAACTAAGATAAGGTTTTAAAGCCCTCTTTATCTTCCCCTTTCATTTCCCTCTCCTCTCTGGCCTTTCATCTATTGCAGGAACAACTCCATCATCAGTTAGCTTTCAGTCACAGGGACTTTGTTACAGGGAAAGAAACCATCTTTCAGGGACCCTTTTTAAACAAATTGCTCAAGGTACTGGCTTTTATCAGTTCTGAGGTCGATTATTTCGAGGCTGCTTTCTGTGGTTTCCCCGCCGTCTGTGTTGTTGAGTTGCTGAGGTTGATTGACGTGGTTCGGGGCTGCTTCCTTTGTCTGTATCCAATTTGGATGATTTGGTCTTCTGCTGCTGAGTTTGTTGCTGGCAAGTGTTGAATTGAATTCTTGTGATGTTTGTTTCTTGCTGTTGTAATTTGAGAGAGAATTCCTTGTATGGTCATGCTTGTGTTGCAATGTTGTGGTGAATGTGCCTGGTAATGTGTCTTTGGTTAGAATTTTCAGCTGAGTTAGCATGCGTGGTAAAAAGTACTGCAGTTTTCTGTGGATTGAGTTAGCTGTGGGAGTTTATATCGACTAATCGGTCGCTGGTAAGTGAGAATTGGTTGGAAGTAAATGATTACGATGCTTAATCTGACTGGTTTAGTCGGTAAATGAGTTTAAGTCTGTTTCTTGCTTTGCCATATTGTCCACAATTCATACATTACAAGAACTATGAATGCTGATTCTTTGGAACAGAGGTTTTGGATTTTGAGGTGGGGAACTGACTTATATGATGCTTGAAACAGTGAAGGTTGTGATGAAGAACTAATTCTAGCTGCTGACAGACTGGCCAATTGGGATTCAAAGGAAACATGACGCCAGTAATCCCATGTTCTACTAGCAGAATCGCACTCATTCCAGGAACTCCCTTCACATTAAACAAGATCAATGTTCCTGCAAGATGTAGTTTATCCAGGAAATCAGCAAAGCATGCCCAAAGACTCGCCGTCTTACCCTTCCCAGCATCCATCAAGTCCTTGCCTAATTATAAAACTCATCATCATGCTTTGGCTCACAGAAGCACAGTCTTTGTTTCAGTATCAGCCACAGGCACAGACGTAGCTGTTGGGGAACCAGAAACTCCTCTGACAAGTGAGGAAGATTCTAGTAAAGCCTCAGAAGTTCCAGCAGAGACTGCTCCAGCTCAAGCTAAGCGTGCAAGGCCCGGCAGGAAAAGCGAGATGCCACCTGTAAAGAACGAGGATTTGGTTCCTGGGGCAATGTTCACTGGGAAAGTAAGGTCTATTCAACCATTTGGTGCATTCATCGACTTCGGAGCTTTCACAGATGGCCTTGTACATGTTTCCAGGCTGAGTGATAGCTATGTTAAGGACGTTGGAAATGTCGTCACAGTTGGACAAGAGGTGAAGGTGAGGTTACTCGAAGCAAACACTGAGACAGGTCGCATTTCTCTTAGTATGCGTGATGACGATGATAATGATGGAAATAGTAGTAAGCCACAGCAGCAAAGGAAAGATTATGCTGCTTCGACAGGTGGTGGAGATAAGCCGAGGCCTGGAAGAAGAAACACACAAAGGACTGGTCAGAAGAGGGATGAGAAGACTGCAAAGTTCGTTATTGGGCAACAACTAGATGGCACGGTTAAGAACTTGACCAGGTCTGGTGCTTTCATCTCTCTCCCTGAAGCTGAGGAAGGATTCTTGCCTGCTTCAGAAGAAGTTAGTGAGGGGTTTGGAAACCTTATGGGTGGTTCTCAACTGGTGATAGGACAGGAAGTTAGTGTTAGGGTTTTGCGAATAAATAGAGGTCAGTTTACTTTGACAATGAAAAAGGAAGAAGATAATCAGAAGGAGGATAAGAACTTTACTCAGGGAGTTGTCCATGCTGCTACTAACCCATTCATGGTGGCTTTCCGGAAGAACAAGGATATAGCTGAGTTTCTAGATGATAGAGAGAAGTTGCAGAAAGATGCTGAGATTTCGGAAGAGAAGGAGTTAGAGCAGGAAGAAAGTGTAGCTTCTCCAGAGGTGGCTGTGGAAGCTAACGTTGGTGAGAAGCAGGAGAGCATAGAGTCTAGCTCATCAGAAGAAGTGGGTAGTGCTGTTCAAGATGTAGAAGCTGAGCCAATCGAAGAACTGGAGAAGATTTCTGCAACCATGGACAACGTTGCAATTGCAGATCAGAAGGTTGAGGAAGAACCTTCAATTGAAGCAGTGGAAAGTGAAGCGAAGTCTGATTTATCTGCTGAAGCTCCTGTTAGTGACAGTGTCATAGAGATCAATTTGGAAGAGCAAATTGAAACAGTAGCCTCTGCCACACCAGTAGAGAATGAAGTTGTCGCAGAAGCTGCTGATGAGAATGGCAGTATCGTTAGTTCAGGTGTGCATGTGTAATTCTTTTTCCTCCCACACTGGACGTTAAAGTAATGAACGTACGAGTTCATGGGACAATTGCATTTCTCACGATAAGAAAGCACGAAAGCTAGACTGTGTTTGTTTCAGCTTAAAAGAAAAGTCACTTAACAGGAAAGGTCTGAATGCGAAACTAAAACAAACTAACTTCAAAAATATTTTAACAAGAAGTAAATCTTCAGTCTATGAACTCACTCCTATTAAATGTATTTCCTTAAGCCATCAGACTTGGATCCATGTTTGACATTGAGCTCTTTCTTTCTCTTGTCTGAGCATAGATGGTGTTGAAAGCATAGAAAATTCTGAGTTACCAGGAACTGAAACCCAGGCAGTGGAAAATGAAACAACTGAAGAAGTGGTTCCACAGAAAGTTGAAGCTAATGAAACAACTTCTGGTTCTCTAGTTGGAAGTGAGAAGCAGGATCCTTCATCCAAAGAGAGTGGGACAACAACAGGTTGCTCTCTCTACAACGCTTCTTCTTATCTCATGTACTTCTTCAATTCGTCATGTTTCGCGTGGCTCTGAACTTGTTTATATTATTTTCCTTTCGTGATGATCATAGCAGCAACCATCTCACCAGCTCTGGTAAAGCAACTTCGAGAAGAAACAGGAGCAGGAATGATGGACTGCAAGAAAGCTCTCTCCGAGACAGGAGGTGACATCATCAAAGCTATAGAATTCCTCCGAACAAAAGGATTAGCAAGCGCAGAGAAAAAAGCCAGCAGAACAACTGCTGAGGGAAGAATTGGGTCTTACATTCACGACAGCAGAATCGGCATCCTGATTGAGGTTAACTGCGAGACAGACTTCGTCTCTCGAGGAGAAATCTTCAAGGAGCTCGTGGACGATCTAGCAATGCAAGTGGCTGCATGTCCACAAGTACAAGTTGTTTCCACGGAAGATGTTGCTGAAGAAATAGTGAGCAAGGAGAAAGAGATTGAGATGCAAAAGGAAGATCTGTTGTCGAAACCAGAGCAGATAAGGGCTAAGATCGTCGAAGGGAGGATCAAGAAGAGGCTTGATGAGCTTGCACTGTTGGAGCAGCCATACATCAAGAATGATAAGGTTCTGGTGAAGGACTGGATCAAGCAAACAATTTCCACCATTGGGGAGAATATGAAGGTCAAACGATTCGTGCGATATAACCTTGGTGAGGGTTTGGAGAAGAAGAGTCAGGATTTTGCTGCTGAGGTTGCTGCACAAACTGCTGCTAAATCAGCACCTGCACCACCAAAAGATCAACCTGCTGCTGCAACAGAGGAGAAAGAAGCTGTTCAGAAGTAAGTGGCTACTCTCTGAGGTTCATGGCTTTCAACTTGCCTCACAAAACTAAAAAGGCTGACACTGAACTTCATAAAAAAAATTCAAACTATAATGCTGTTGGACTCGCTTAAAAGACTGTAACTGAACTTTGATGAGGTACAAATGTGTCTAGGAGGGGTAAAATACACCAACCGTCACTTGACTTCGCTTAAAAGCTTAAATGCACTTAAGTTCGACGTGTGTTTTCTATGCTCTTTCAGGCCACCAGCAACAACAGTTTCTGCAGCACTCGTCAAGCAGCTGCGGGAAGAAACAGGAGCAGGGATGATGGACTGCAAGAAAGCCCTTGCGGAGACAGGTGGTGATCTGGAGAAGGCACAGGACTATCTCAGAAAGAAAGGCCTATCATCTGCCGACAAGAAATCCAGTCGCCTAGCAGCTGAAGGACGAATTGGTTCCTACATTCACGACTCCCGAATCGGAGTGCTGATCGAGGTCAACTGCGAGACCGACTTCGTCGGCAGGGGCGACATTTTCAAGGAACTGGTCGATGATCTGGCAATGCAGGTCGTGGCTTGCCCACAGGTGCAGTTTGTGTCGACTGAAGATGTGCCTAAAAGCATTGTCGAGAAGGAGAAGGAACTCGAGATGCAGAGAGAGGACCTTCAGTCGAAACCAGAGAACATAAGGGAGAAGATTGTTGAAGGAAGGATCTCAAAGAGACTTGGAGAGCTTGCGCTTCTAGAACAACCTTTCATTAAGGATGACAAATTGCTGGTGAAGGATTTGGTGAAGCAAACTGTTGCTTCTCTTGGTGAGAATATAAAAGTCCGAAGGTTCGTGAGGTTTACACTTGGAGATGAAACCGACTAAAGAAGATGCAAAACCCTAGGAGTGAAGGTACTTGTTGCTTAAGGAACAGAGAAAAACTGGTGTCATGAGGCTGTTACAGAATCTAGTTTTTGGATGAGAGGATAGGATTGTCCTGATTCTTTTCTTTTTTGTGATCAGAGCAAGTTAGCTTTTCCTTCTGTATTATTATTATTAGTAGTTGTTTTCTCCCCTTCTACATTGATCCAAACAACAATTCTGATATGAATCTGCTAAAAGTGTTCCTTCATAAATGATAGCAGTTGCTGCTAAACTCAATACAACAATTACAAAAACTTGCATTTTCTACTGTTGAGACTTGAGAAAAGCCATCATTTCCCATGTAGGATATGTTTTGAGTGCCCCTCGAATTCGAATTTCTTTGCCTGGATTAATCTTTCGGCTCAAACCGCCAAAGGTCTACTGCAACATCCACTTCCTTCTTCTTGTGAAACTTAACAGTTGAGGAACATCAAACTGAAGCTGTAAATACAGGATCCAGAATGTTGTGAATGTTAAACCAACAAACATGACAACGTAAACAAGTTACAAATTCCAAACTCTACTTAGAATACATCAGAAACATTAATGATCCCTTCACTCACCGCAAGGCTGCTCTTTTAATATGCTGAAGTGAACCAAGTATACAAATGGTCATATTAGGGAAAGCTTCACAACCTGCTAAAGTGTCAGGAGAATCGCCCACCACCTTCAACTATTCAAATGTCCATACTGCACATTCAAGCAACATTCTTTACTTGCTACTAAGGCTACTCACGTCTCTGGTGTGCAATGAATATACTGCTCCAGAAGCAATCTGGCATCAAGATATCGCACGATTTTATTACAAGAAGATAAAGACTTATGACCAGGAAAGTGCAATAGGTTTGAGAGAATTCGTACTTTTAAGGCTGTAGAGAGAAACTCCATATCCGCACCCTTCCGCCGGGTCCCAAATGGAGGGTTCATTATAACTGTGTCAACACTAGAACCTAACAGAAAGAGGATTTGAAACCATCAGACACAAACTTCACTTCTCAGAGAAAGATAATATGACGAAAACTAGGTCGCTACTGCTACTACCTCTCCATCCTAGATTCCTGATGTCACATTGTACAAAGTCTATGTCAAGCTGCAGAGTGCAAAAATCATTCAGCAAACGGAAGATCATCATTCATCAGTTGAACAATGAACTCATCACCAATTCAAGAGGAGAGGCAAAATAGTACCTCGAGATCCTCAGCATTTGCTGTTGCCATCTCGAGGGATTCTGAATAAACATATAACAGCTCAATGTGGAGACATCATAGAGAATCCTCCCTAAACAAGGAAAAATTGCTTCCACACAACAAGATGAGGATACCGAATCTGGAGTTGAGTCGCGGACAAGGTCGCTTTCTTTAAGACGTTCGCGGCACTGCCCTCGATGCGCACGGCAGACTATCAACCGGTCGTCTCCAGGATAAAACAGCTCCTCTGTGTACTCGCGGTTTTGTGCGAAAACCGGAGCTCTCTGAACACTCTCTCTATTATGTTTATTCTCGTTGTGATGTGTTTAGAAGGGGCTGGGGAGGCGGCTATTTATAGGAGGCGAACCCCTAGGAATATACCCTCTTGCTTGGGGAATAAGTCGGATTAATTAAGGAAGATAATTACTTCCTTAATTAAAACCGTCGGTTAGGATAAATCCTGCGGAGATTATCCTTCGAATATTCCTTTTCAATCGATTATCCCTTGGAATATTACTCAGAGTAACCGATTAATAATTAATTATTAAATAATTAATTTCGTTCGGAATTTCTCCAAAAAATATGTATATAGTCTCAAGTGATCCATCCATCCATCCGACCGGTCGGACGGCGCGCGCGCGTGTGTGGTGGTCCGTTAGGTCCTCCCTCTCCCACAAAAGTGGGTCACCCCAAGGGGCATGCCCTTAGGAGAGAGGCTCCTATCTTTATACTCATTTCACCAAGTAAAACTACCAATGTGGTAGTTTTTCCACTTGAGACTCTATAGCTTTCAAAGCTATTCATACACATTTCCAACAATCCCCCACTTGAATAGTTTTGAAACTATCTCTGAGCATTAACAGTTCCATAAGATCGGGCATAAGCTAAGGTATCGTGAAGATTTGAACCTTAGCGTAGTGGTTACACTTCCGATTTCATAAGGGTGACTCGTAGTCTTGAACCCTATCTCAGACAGTGTAGCACACCGGATCTTTTCATTGAGTTGTGTTCTCTTCTTAGCCCGTGCGTTTATGGCCTTGCACGTTATCCTGGTTTAGTGAACGCTCTAGCAACTTTGTGCCTCTCAAAGTTCCATAGGGAGCGGCCCCACTCCCACATTCACATAGGTGAGTCTATCAGGAGTACCCCCAAAGTAAAGTACTCCACCCCACATAGGGTATAGATCTCATTAAGAGTTATTAACTCAACCTCCATTGCTTTGGGATTCATGCTTCATTATGCATGAACTTTTCGCATACTACTCATGACTTGTTATTACCCATTGAACCCATTTCTTGGGATCTCCAGTCTATTGGGTCGGGTTACCATCACTTGTAGTCCGTGGTTCGGTAGGCATAAGTCCCATACCCTTGGCGGTATTCTGGACTTTCTCTCTAGGTAATCCTTTCGTCAAAGGATCAGCTAGATTCTGTTCGGATCTTATATGATCCACCCTCACTGCTCCTATCGTTAGGAGTTCTCTAACAGTACTGTGCTTACGACGAATCTGTCGTTTCTTTCCGTTATAGAACCGGTTCTCAACTTTAGCGATAGCTGCGGTACTATCACAATGTATCAATACCGGAGGGAAAGGGCTTTCCCATAGGGGAATCTCTGACAACAATCCTCTCAACCAACTTGCTTCTTCACTAGCCGTTGCTAGTGCTATCATCTCTGATTCCATAGTTGATTGAGCTAGGATTGTTTGTTTCTTTGACTTCCAAGACACAGCTCCACCAACGATGTTAAAAACATATCCGCTGGTTGCCTTGGAGTCATCTGATAGGGTATTCCAATCCGCATCACTATACCCTTCTAGTACAGCGGGAAACCTTAGATAGTGTATACCAAGGTTTGCTGTTCTCTTGAGGTATCTCATGACCCTCTCTATAGCATTCCAATGCTCTCTACTAGGACAGCTGTTAAACCTGCCAAGCATTCCGCAGCATAACAGAGACTGCCAATGATGCTAGCATATTCTGTTTGTCTTACACTGTCTCCAGTGTTCTTGAATAGCTTTACACTAGCATCATACGGAGTACACGCAGGTTTACAGTCGAAATAGTTATACTTCTTCAAGATCTTCTCTATGTAACTAGATTGATCTAGAGAATAACCATTTGCTGTTCTAGTTATCTGGATTCCAAGCATAAACTTTGCTTCTCCCAGATCTTTCACCTCAAAGCTCTCTTTTAACATGGCTTTCGCTTCATTGACCACGTGAATATTTGTACCAAATATCAACATGTCATCTACATACAAACATATGATAGTGCAAGTGCTATTCTCTGTCTTGCAGTAAATACACTTGTCACTTTCATTCACCTTAAAGCCATGTGAGAGAACGAGAGTGTCAAACTTCTCATGCCACTGTTTTGGAGCCTGTTTCAAACCATATAATGATTTGTCCAACTTACAGACTTTCGAGGCATGTTCAGGGATAACAAACCCTTCTGGTTGTTCCATATAGATTTCTTCATCTAGATCACCGTTCAAAAAAGCAGTCTTAACATCCATTTGGTGTACCACGAGATTGTTCAAGGCAGCAAGAGCAATCATGACACGAATGGATGTTATTCTAGATACTGGTGAATAGGTGTCGAAGAAATCTATATTCTCTCTCTGCCTGTAGCCCTTGACTACTAGGCGAGCTCGGAACCTTTCGATTGCACCATCAGGTTTCCGTTTCGTTTTTAGAACCCATTTATTACCTAAGACTTTGCAGCCAGGAGGTAAGTCTGTTAGATGCCAAGTCTTATTAGCCTCTAACGATTCCATTTCATCTATAACGGCCTCATTCCAAAAGTCTGCATCTATGGAAGTTAGTGCTTCCTGCAAACTTTTTGGATCCTCTAGGGTGTATACTGTAGTAAAGTCATCACCAAAATCTTTAGAGATTCTAGCTCTTTTACTTCTTCTGAGTTCATCCTCAGATCCAACACCCCCACTTGTTCCGTTATCTCTAATAGCGGGTAGTACATTACCCCCACTATTTCTCGTTTTAAATGGAAATCGTGTCTCAAAGAAATCAGCATCAATGGATTCTATTACTGTACGAGCATTCAAATCATAGAATCTATATGCCTTACTATTGGCCGCATAGCCAACGAAGACACATTCATATGCTCGACTAGCCAACTTAACCCTCTTAGGATCAGGAATTCTTACGTAGGCCAAACAGCCTCACGTTCTTAAATAGGACAGATTAGGTGGCTTATTCTTCAAGATCTCATAGGGTGATTCTTTTCTATTTGTTTTTGGAAGACGATTTAGCACATAGCAAACCGTCAACAAAATATCACCCCACCAAGAAGAAGCAGCTCCAGAATTGAGCATAATAGCCACAACTAATTCTGTAAATGTCCTATTTTTCCGCTCAGCTTTACCATTCATCTCTGGTGAATATGGTGCCGTGGTTTCATGAATGATACCATGTGAGCTATAGAATTCCTTGAAGGGATTAGAGTCATACTCTGATCCTCTATCGCTCCTAAGTCTTTTTATCTTTCGATTGCACTGATTTTCGAATTCAACCACAAATACCTTGAACATGTCAAGGGCTTCACTTTTGTTTTTCATCAAATAAACAAAGCAATAATCAGAGCAATCATCTATGAAAGTGATAAAGTATCTCTTGCCAGACCTAGTTAACTTCCCATCTAGTTCACAAATATCAGAATGAATCAGATCTAAGGGTTCTGATTCTCTACTCACAGATTTATGGGGCGTTTTCGTTATTTTAGCTTGGCTACAGAAATCACATTTATCAAATTCATTCATTGAGAGTTTAGGGATATGTCCTAGCTTGCTTAAATTCTTCACAATTCGTGTGTTCACATGACAAAGACGAGCATGCCAAACATTCAAATCACACACCATGTAAACTGAAGAATTCATCTTATTAATTTCGACATTCAACTTGAACATCCCATTACATGCATATCCCTTTCCCACAAAACTCCCATTCTTAGTAAGGGTATACAAGTCTGCCCCAATAGATTGATTAAACCCAGCCTTATTAAGAAGATATCCCGACACAAGATTCTTCCTTATCTCTGGAGTGTGCAACACATCCTTGAGCACCATCTTCTTCCCAGAGGTGAAGTTCAGCTCCACTTCACCAGAACCAGCAACCATAGTGGTGTGAGTAGTCCCCAACAACACTTTCTTGTCAGCAGGTGCTTCTTCGTATGTTTTAAACATAGCACGATTGTTGCATACATGCTTCGATGCACCTGTATCCAGCCACCAACCTTCTGAGTCACCGGTGAGGTTAACTTCAGCGATCATATCTGTGATCATGGCTACCAAATCCTCTTCTGTCAAGTTAACCCTGGCCGCAGCGGCGGGGTTATGCTTGTTCCTGCACTTTTTTGCCATATGACCCGGTTTTCCGCAGTTAAAGCAGATAAACGGTGGGTCATTCTTAGAGGTTTGGGCCATGACCCTTTGGTTACCTCGAGAGGCACCATTCTGGTGGGGGCGGACCTGCTGGTTCTTACCCTTAAACCCTTTCTGGTTAGGTTTAAGAGCTCTAGGGGTGGGTCGTTTAGCAGTGACGACCATCACCTCTTCTTTCATATCCTGCTTGCGGGACTCTTCCTCAATCCTTAGGCGAGTAATCAAACTTTCCAGTGAAAATTCTTTGGTTTTATGTCTAAGCATATTCTTAAAATCTTTCCACGAAGGGGGCAGCTTATCAATAACGCAAGCAACTTGAAATTGATCGTCCAGAGGCATACCTTCAGAGACGATCTCGTGAGCTATTTTCTGAAGTTCGTGGGACTGAACTTCGACAGACTTGTCATCCACCATCTGATAGCGCAGGTAGCGGCTGACAGCATACTTCTTAGCTCCAGCCTCCTCCGTGTCGTACTTCTTTTGGAGCGCATCCCAGACCATCATTGCGGTGTTCTTGCTGTCCGCATAGTAGTCGTAGAGGTCGTCTGCCAGGCCGTTGAGGATGTAGCCCTTGCATAGGAAGTCATGCTCCCTTTCCTTAGCAGCAGCAGTCCTCTCCTCATCGGTCGCTTCTTCCGGCAGCTCGACGGGCATGCTAGTGAGGCAGTGTGCCAACTTCTTGGTCGTCAGGTAAAACTCCATCTTTTGTTTCCAGCGACGAAAGTTGACTCCAACGAAGCGAAACGGTCGATTGATATCGACAGCACCAGATCCGGCCATGTTGTTCTGTTCAGTCGACATAGCAGCAGCCGAACGTCTAAAAATTGTTAGAAACGGAACAACAACAAGATGAGGATACCGAATCTGGAGCTGAGTCGCGGACAAGGTCGCTTTCTTTAAGACGTTCGCGGCACTGCCCTCGATGCGCACGGCAGACTATCAACCGGTCGTCTCCAGGATAAAACAGCTCCTCTGTGTACTCGCGGTTTTGTGCGAAAACCGGAGCTCTCTGAACACTCTCTCTATTATGTTTATGCTCGTTGTGGTGTGTTCCGACCGACCGACCGGTCGGTCGGACGGACGGCGCGCGCGCGCGCGTGTGTGGTGGTCCGTTAGGTCCTCCCTCTCCCACAAAAGTGGGTCACCCCAAGGAGCATGCCCTTAGGAGAGAGGCTCCTATCTTTATACTCATTTCACCAAGTAAAACTACCAATGTGGTAGTTTTTCCACTTGAGACTCTATAGCTTTCAAAGCTATTCATACACATTTCCAACCACATTCTACAATGCATTGCATTTTCAAAAGATGCCATCTCTACAGGGGGGAAACAAGGGAATGAATACATCATTTCAGAGCGGACGCGACTCACTCTGCGCCCATCAGAGCAGCAGCGGCGCCTAATGTTCCACAACCGCCGCAGCCGAAATCCGCCACAACCTTTTCAGTTACATCCCCATACGAATTTCCGCCTGCTCAGTTGTGGAAACCACAAAAACCCAAAGCCACGAACTTTCCCAGTTAGCTGTGAAGTAAATTCATCCTGGAAGAAACCCAACTCCGGGAAATGGAGAAGGGAAGCTCGTTGAGTGAAAAAGAAGCAGACAAATAAGTAAATGGGGATGGGAAGTAGTAACCATGTAGAGCATGCGGGAAGCGATGTGAGGTCCGGTAGGGTACTGCTCCAGCTCCACCTGCGCCCAGGCATGGCAATCGAGCAGACCCAATAGGCTCCGCAGAAAGGGAGACGAGGAGGAAGGAGAAAGAGGGAAGAGAGAACGAGAGAGAGAGAGACCTTTGGGTTGGAGAATTGCTGAAGATTGCCTAATAGGCCTTCTAGTTGCTTCAGCTTCATTGTCTTGTCTCGGTAAAATTTCCTCCCCGGCAAGATTCAGAATCAAGAAGATACACGAACCAGAGGAGCAATGGAGTACTGCTCCAGAGTGAAAGTGTAACACCCGAACCCGACAGGGCCCTACTTTTACCAAAATACTCTTATGAGTCAATGAACATTAAATAAATTGAAAGATAGCGGAAGCGTCGTACTAAAGAAAACAGTAGACATAAAAGTCAACATGATTTGAAACATCCTGACGTAATAAATATCATCGTAAAATCACATCAAGCCTCTCGTCCCACTAAAGTACTGAACTTAACTTCTTCCTTCTGGAGTGCACTTGAGTCAATGATGGTGAATCCATATGCGTTCTTATGTGCTTCTATGATTCCTTAATGCGGGCGTTGGGGTCCGTCCTAATCCTAATTCCATTCTTGACATCATATATAAAATGAAGGGTTAATAGTATTTTGTGCCCCTCTACTATTGTGAATTAACAAACGTGCCCCTATATTATTATTTTGCACAAACATACCCTTTTAATATTACAATGTAACGAAATTACCCTTCTGTTAGAAAATTCCGTTTTCTCACCGTTAACTGCCATCAGAAGTTACCTAACTACCCCTGACTAATTAATCCCCTTCTAGACTTCTACTGTCATCCTTCCCTCTTCGAGTCTTCCACATTCGAAGATACCGTCGACGAAGCCGCAGCGGGAGCGGGAGCCGACCCTCGTGGAATCCTTCTCCCTCCTTCGGAACAGAGACGAACCATCCTCAACCAACTTATTTCTCCGCCTTACCAGAGATCGATTCAGCCCAGCTTCTTCCTAGTCCCAACCTTCCCTCCGACGAGCTGTAACAGAATCCGATGGAACCCTTCCCCTATTGTTTGCTGCAACAGAATCATGCATGAATCCATTGCCTCCACCAAATTCATTGTTAATTCCACCATCCATCTTCCTTATACGTGGTCCTGAAAAGAACTATTAGTTAATTTTAACTTTTGTCTTATTCAATTAAATTAGGGATTAAAAAATAGGGTTTTGGGTTGAGTCGTACCTCAAGTTGTGGGGGGATAATAATAACCACTGAAAGCTTGGGAATTGATTGGCAAATGGGAGTTGTGTTATTGCTTCTTCGTCCAATCCACCCGACAGTGCTTCCCGATATTGCTTCTTCGTTCAATCCACCCGAGAGTGCTACTTGAACTTCAACTGATGAATATCGATGACGCCGTTGGAGGATGCTGGAGTGCGCCGCTGGAGGATGCTGGAGGAAGCCGGTAAAGATGGCGTCGTCGCCGATGGTTTGGTCGACGGCGATGATGTTCGCAGGTTGCTCTACAGTAGAAGGAAAAGATGAAGGGATTAGCAGCGTAATCGCTTTCTAATTCAAAATGGATTTCTTTTAGTTTATTAATTTGTCTGTAATCACTTTCTAATTAAAACTGGATTTATTAAATAGTCAGGGGTGGTTAGTTAATTTCTGATCCTAGTTAACGGTGAGAAAATGGAATTTTCAACAGAAGGGTAATTTCGTTACATTGTAATATTATAAGGGCATGTTTGTGCAAAATAATAGTACAGGGGCACGTTTGTTAATTCGCAATAGTATAGGGGCACAAAATGCTACTAACCCTAAAATGAACCAACATACATAATGAGTGCAAATGCTCATGTAATGCTCGTGTATGAAAATGCTTACATGACTTGTAAATGGTTACCTTGAAATGGATATTCTTATGAGTTCTTATGAAAGGGGACCCCGGGCTCGACTTAACTAGCACGCCACCACGATCACCGACATACTTGAACATGATCTTATTACCCAGGAGTGGGGTTCGTAACCTCCTTTTTACCCAGGAGTAGGGTTCGTAACCTCCTTAATCATAACATGAGGTGACCGCGTGCGGCTAGCTAAGTGAGGGTTAAAACATGATCTTGCTTACTTACTGAACCTACTTGCTTGACATGATGATCATCCTCCGCTCAATGGGAGATCCAACCTTATGACTTGCTTAACTTATAAAATCGTACTTCTTTTAAAAGTAACTTGACTTGCTTAAAACACATGTATCCATGAAACATGATCATGCTATGCATACTTAAAACATAACTTGTATCGTCTCGTCTCAAAACATAACTTTGCGATGCAATGCCATGCCATGCTATGCTTAAGAAATGAACATAATTCATAAACTTGGAAATGGATCTCATGAACACATAGCTCAAGCATAAATAGCATTTAAAGACATATCAATTAATTCAAGCAACATGCAGTGTAAATAACTTAGAATGGAATACTAACTAATGCCCCCTCAAACCACGCACCTTATTAGCTTAACTCGGTTGACCTGATCTAGCCACCAACTCAAGGAATCGATGCACTTCATGGGTAAATTGCCTTGGTAAACCTATGACGAAAGTCGAGGTTAGATTGGTTGGGCTCTTGGGTTCCTAGCGACGGTTCTTGATAGGTAGGGCTACTTTGTTATAAATACAAAGTATGGCTAATTAATATACCAATTAATTTATCGTACTAAAATCAACACTCTTTAAATCTAGCCATTTTACATACTTGTAAAACTAATTGTGATAAAATCACTTGCCTAGTTGCGTTCCAGAAGCATATAATAACATATATATATATTACTCTAGTCTAGTAAATTTACCCATTTAACTAATCATAGATTAATCTAACTTGCTAATCATATCAAATATCATATTGTCTTCCAATGCAGTCAAAATCGCGCTTTAAAACTTAAAAACTTACGCTTTTACCTTTTTGGGTCACAACAACGCTTCTACGTAGAATCGTGATTTTCCCTTACAAATGTAGTCAAAATCTACGTTTTAAAACTTATAAACTTACGATTTTACGCTTCTAGGTCACCCCACCGCTTCTAGGTAGAATCGCGCTTTTGACCGCATTGTTGTCTTCTAGTTGAACTCATCATATTATCATACCTGCCAAAATAATATTTCCTAACTCATAATTTAATTACCTTAACCTATTAAATTGCTTTATGAAGCTCTTGGTGACATGACTAATCATATACGCAACAAACTCAAACCAAATTATCTTATCGGCTAATCAGTTATTACTTAACATCTTAATCCATACTCAAATAAGATTAAATCAATTACTGTAATTAACATTTACTAACCTAGACAATTAAATTGTAAAAGCTACAGCTCCTATACTGACAGTTCAAGATCCGTCACTAAAATAGTGACAGCCCGTCCCAAAAGAGCTACCACAGCTCCTGATTTGCCAGTCTTTAGACAGTCACAGTAATCGTCCTAAAAGACTGTAATTCCGTTGCTAATTCTGCAGAATTATACAAACTCGTATAACTAACATAAATATCAATTTTAACGCGAGGGGTTGGGTTTACTTACCTTCTATTCACGTCAAGACCTATATATTTGAGTTTATTAGACTCTCGTTCCTTGCTTAGATCGACATTCGATCACCGTCCCTTTTGTCACCGAAGCTACGGGGAAAGACAACCATGGTTATATAGTTACACATGCACGGAGCTTTGAAGGTTGATAAAGGCTGTGATTCCATTGTTCTTACCTATGGTTCGAGAGACAGTGGAAGAGACTCTCGATGGAAACAGTTGCTAGTGTCGTGGTACCTAACCGATCGACGATGATAGCGACGGGAAACTTCGTGTGGCAAGGAAAGGATGGACAAATTAGTTAATGGCGATTAGGGATGAGTGCTGGCGTTCTTGGAGAAGCAGTAGTGATGGAGAGGGGCGATAGGTCAGGGACAAGTGAAGACTTGAAGAAGTAGCTAGTATTATATTTATGGAAGAAGATGGAGCACCGACACTCTTTTGAAGCTGCTCCATTAGAAAACAATATCTTTTGCTATGTAGATATAATTGAGAATGGATTGCCCATGTGTCTCTTGGGACAAGTAGATGAGAATGTAAAAATGAGTTGTTGGTGGGTGGTTTCAGCTGATAGCTAGATGTGTATGGGTTTTCAGTTAGTATAATTATGATTGGGGAATGGTAATTTGGGAATTGCCAAGATAAGTGTGAATCGGGGTGTTACAGAAAGATTCAATAATACTTTTTTTTTTTGTGTAGAAAATAGAAATACATTTTCTTTTCTTTCTACCCTCTTCCGAATCCCTAAGAAATTGCCCATAATTTCTTTAAATTTGGTTCTTTTTTTTTTCTCAATTTATGTGACATTAGGTTGGGTCTAGGGCTTAACCGCAATGCAGTCAAAAGCGTGATTCTAACTAGATGTATAAAAGGGGTAAAATCGTAAAGCATAGTATCAAAGCGTAAAAGCGTAAGTTTTTTACGCTGACTGAAAAATAACTAAAACTTTATTAAGTAGGACATATACTATATAAAATATGAATGCACAGAATTTAGTTAAGTTAATAAATACATGCAATTCATGCCTAAAGTAGAGCAACTTATAGCATCTTAATAATAAGTTCGTAAACATAAATTTTAACAATAAGCCACTTTTTCCTCTATGCTAATGAATTCGGGAAGAGCCTAGCTGGTGAATTAGATCACTCTATTGAAGTTGAGAATGCATCCAAGTACCTGGTATGTATTTTTTTTAATCTCAAATGTATCATATTGTTGGTGATTTACTTTTTAAAATATACTTTTTATAATTAATTTCATGAAAAAATACTCATTTAGTGAACTAAAAGCGTAAAAACGTAAAGCATTTTGGTGAACTAGAAGCGTAAAAGCGTAAGCTTTTAAGCTTTAAAACGCAATTTAGTTCGATTTTATACACTTAAGTTTTTATATAGAAACGAAAGCGGTTTGGTGACCCAAAAGCATAAAATTGTAAGTTTTTAAGTGCGATTTTGACTGCATTGCTTAACCACAACTGTAACAGAGCCATATATGCAAATCGTGACAGCACCGCAATCAGTTAGTGATTGACCACTAACCACAAAGTGCGATTAACGATTATCTGTGATTAACGACGTTACTAACTGTAATGATGGTTTGGGAAATAT